TGCTATATATATACATATGCTATAACGTATAAGAGCAATCCTTAAAAAATGTTTTCTATTTATAAATCTCTTTGTATAACAATATGCAAGTATTATTATATTTATTTTAGATGTTTGTACAACAATCGTTAATCCATTTGGACAATATACAAAAAAGAATTAAAGAACGACAAACAGAGCTTCTAACTATGGATAAGATTGTTTATTGTAAAAATGTAAAAGTATGTTCTAACATTAAATCCTTATTGATAAACTATGTACAAAGGGTACAATATATATTCTTTTTATAGGACCCATTTGTATATGCTATGTATAATACTGATCCTAGAATGACACTTGTCACTGTGTTTGAAAGTGGTAAGCAAAGAGATAAAGAATCTCATGTAACATCATTTATGACAGACTTATGTATGCAAATTCGATGTAACAAAGTGTATGAATTGCTGAAACTATCAAAATAAAAAGCCATAAAAATGAGTGCTTGAAAATATAAAAACACTAAGCAGAGCATAGAAATTACTTATCTTCATTGTTTACGGTCCGCTGTACATGGGTTAGAAATAGTTAAGTGTTAATAAAATTTGTATTCTTGTTTATTAATATATTGATTTATTCATTATCCTTTTTAAAATTAAATGTTACAATAAGATATTTGAGTAAAAATATTTCTATGTTTATTAATTATACATATACATATATATACAAAATTCTATTTTAATTAAAAGTCAGAGAAATCTAGGCGTACATTAAATGTTTTATGTACTCAGTAAGTTGTAAAAATAAGATTTTGTGTATTACTGAAGATGCACAAATATATGCAAAGATAATATGGCACTAAGCCTTATTACAATAAGATAAAATTCTTAATGTTTCTTTTAAATGTTAAGTAAGGTTTTATAAAGACATCTTTGCTCTTTTCACTGCTCGTTCTTTATGCTTTTTAGCCTTCTCTTTATGTTTATGGTTTTTAGTTGCGTCTTTGAATAANTTTAAAATTAAATGTTACAATAAGATATTTGAGTAAAAATATTTCTATGTTTATTAATTATACATATACATATATATACAAAATTCTATTTTAATTAAAAGTCAGAGAAATCTAGGCGTACATTAAATGTTTTATGTACTCAGTAAGTTGTAAAAATAAGATTTTGTGTATTACTGAAGATGCACAAATATATGCAAAGATAATATGGCACTAAGCCTTATTACAATAAGATAAAATTCTTAATGTTTCTTTTAAATGTTAAGTTAGTTTTTATAAAGACATAATTGCTCTTTTCACTGCTCGTTCTTTATGCTTTTTAGCCTTCTCTTTATGTTTATGGTTTTTAGTTGCGTCTTTGAATAATTGAATTCCTTCTTTTTCTTCTACAATCCGCTGGATGTGTAACATACCATGTAAATTGAATCCAATCATATCCTGAAAAAATTAATTTTAAACAATTGTACATATTCATTATAAAATTTGGCAGCTATAATTTCTGTTTAAAATGTTTTCTTACCCTCAGTTGAGAAACCTTTTTAATAGCTAATATTTTTACAGTTTCTAATGTATGTAAAAGTTCCGGATTTGATATAATTGGATTATGATGTGTTTCTACTAAACACAATGCTAATCTTGCTATTAACTCCGTTTGATGATCTGATTGCAACAACTTTGGTAACATTTTGAGAATGTCACAAGCAACAGAATACGGTAATAATAGCAATGCCTCTTCTAAATCGCTAAAAATCGTATAATAATTTATTTATCTCACATATGTTTTATATCAAAGATATATAGCAAGATATATATAACTGTTCGAGTAGTTTAGTGATTTGATGATGTTTCTGTACTATTGTTTCTACCTTGCTCTGATGCGTTTAACTGTTTCCACGAAGTAATCTTCTATATTTGTACAATTGTAAGCTTGCATTTGTAAAGGAATAGCAGGTATTGTATTCGAAGTTGCTACTGTTGATAACTGTTCACTATATGTTTTAGATATTTCTAAACATTCCAATATTAATTCAGCCTAAAATTTATATTCGTAATACAAATTATGAATAGCTCGATAATATAATATATCTGTTTCGCAATGCGATTTATTAGTATTCACCCCTTTCTCGCTGGAAACCGTTTTTCTAGAAGGAAGCGATTGTTCTTTTCGTCCTGGAACGACAGTAGTTTCATCAGTAGCTAATTCATTTTCTTGACGTTCTCTTTCTTCTTCCTCTTCATCTTGTAGAACCAAAGGCTCTAAAGTTCGTTCATACATTCTAACAACCTTGTCAGAGCCACAGGATACAACGTGAATACCATTCGGTGAAATAGCACAAGACCATGCTTCTCCTGCATGTCCCTAATTAAATTTTTAAATTTAAAATTTATACAATTTTTAGGAGTAATCACTTATTAGGCACATTATATTTATAGTGTTTATAAATTTGTCATTTTCGTGAGAAGTTACCTGTAACGTAACAATTTTTTGAAAAATATCAGCATCCCACTCCTTTACTTTTCCATCTTTTCCACAAGTAAAAAAATAATGAGTTCCAGGAACAAAGGATAATCCTGTTACAGAGTCGTCATGAGCAAATAATGATTTATGACAATCTCCGTAGTCTAAACCCCAAATTTTAATGTTTCTGTCAGCAGAACCAGTAGCAATAAGTGTCGAGTCACTGGATATATCCATACATAAGACTGGCAATTTATGTCCATAAAGTGAAATGAAGAACTGAAATAATATGATATATTGTCTTAATATTTTACATAACGTAGTTATTAAATATAAATGATATATATATATAATAAACAATTACCTTAAATGTGTCAAGAAAAAAAATTTTTACTGTAGAATCAAGTAATGCAACAGCAACAAATTGATTATTAGGACTTATTCGTACACATAAAACACTATCTTCTAATTTCAAAGTTCTTGTATGCAAAACGGATAACACTTTTGCTTTTATTTCACTGTCAGAGTTTTCAGATTTGAAAATTTGGGCAAAATCCCAAAATTTGACAGTTTGGTCTCCTCCACCACTTACTACTCCTCTCTATAAAAATATAACAAATAATTACGAATTTGGAAAATTTCAAAAGTTATTTTAAAATAAAATACATTAAATACAGGAAAATTAATTTTCGAAATTACCCTATTAGGAAATAAAGCAATGCTCCAAAGTTCTTTAGAATGTGCAGGTATTTCTTCTAATATGTCACCTGATACAATATCCACAATCAACATTTTACCATCCTTCAAACCTACAATTAAATGTCTGTCACCTGGTACAAACGTTGCTGTTAAAGCGTAACCACATTCTACAGTACGTATGCATGCTAAAGTTGGTCTAAATTTGAAAAATATATAATGTATCATTAATATTCTTTTTAAACATTAATAATAATATCCTTTTATAACACCTTCATACCTATTCCATAATTTCACAGAATCTCCGCTTGCCGTTGCAAAAGCTAAATTATCAGAACTGAAGCAAATTGCACGGACATTTGATCGGTGACCATGTTTTGTTACAAATCTTAAGAGTTTTGCTTCAACATTTTTTTCTTGTGTAAATATTGAATATAATTCAATGGAATTATTACTTAGTCCAATACATATCTGCAAAGAAGATGTAGAAAAAAATATTTTTAAATAGGTTTTATAAATAAAGTGAAATTTTTCTATCATTACTCACCCTAAGTTCGCCTCCTTTACCCATTACCATATGTAGAGATTTGGCTCTGGCAGATGTTTTAATTATAGGTAAACGTATAATCTCATCTTTTAATGTTGGTATCTCTGATAAATTTGCTTCCATAGTATTTCCATTTCTATTTAAAATATCAAGCAATAAAATTTTAAGATAATTATAAAATATCTAAGTGTATTAAAAATTTTAATAATATAGTAAAAATCTCTTAAATAAATATTTCTGCATACTTCTCTGCCTTTTTTCTTTCTCTTTCTAATCGTTTAAGTACATTTTCATTCATTCTAGTATCCGGTAATAATTGAAATAATTCGACAGTATTGTCTACACCATGACAGCCAATGACAGTTTGTGTTGAATCAACATCAAGAGATACAACTCTTCCATAACTGCTTCTCAAAATACTACCAGTCTTTTCACACTTTAGAGGATATATCTATTAAAATTAAATATGTCCATTAAATAAAAGAAATATGAGTGTATTGCAGATAAAAAAATATTGTTCAATAAACATATATACCAGATCATTAACTTCAACATCATCAGTAATTGTTAAATCTTGTAAATTAACGTCAAAGTCTGTGGCTGTAGTTTCAGTGAAATATATTTTCCACACTTGTAATTCATTATCTTTGCAACCAGTAATTAGATATTGATCATTTTTAGCTAATGCTAAAGACGAAACCTAAGATTCGTAAAATCATTATCATTAACAAGCTTTGTGATGAAGATGAAATTATACATATTCAACATTTACCTCTGATCTATGATTAACAAGAGTTCTAAAGTTATGTTCTGTGTTCAAATCCCAAAACTTTACAAAAGTATCTTTACTGGCACTAATGAGAATATTGTGATCTTTCATAAACACTAATTTGGTTATTACATGTTTATGTCCACTTAAGCGACATATTCCAGTTTCTGCAACCACATCCCATACAATAATATCTGTATCCTAGAAGAAGAGGAATGAAAATTAATACTTTAATAAATTATAATTAATATAAATAATAGCTTTCTTCAAATTGAGAGAGAAGAAAACATGATTTTCTAAAAACATGAATTTACATATTTTGCCTTATTGTAATATTTTATTTCTTCTTAACTGATAAAGATGCTTATACATAATGTTACGGTGATATTTAATATAGCGATGTGTAATGAAATAACCCTGTAAATTACTAAATGAAGTGTTCATTGAAAATGCTGCAATGTGTGATTTAGGATCCATAAAGAAAGTGCAACAATATCTTTACATTACATTCATGCATATCTCTTAGAATCTTTGTTGTTTGAATAATTATCAATAATATTGTATATATTACGCTAAGCAAGATATCTTACTTTTGAACCAGAGGCTAATCTGTGCCCTTGTTTATCATATACCAGGGTTGTAATCTCAGATCGATGACCAACAAATATGCTTATATTTTCACTTGATCTTAAATCAAATGTCTTTATAGTACCATCTGCATAGCCAACGGCCACATGGCGTTGATTTGGAGATGCAGCTAAACATGTAACATTGACTTTATCTCCTGATAATACTTGAGCCTAAAATAATAAATAATGAGAATGTAAATATTTTGTAATGGATGAAACATGTAGTTTTTTTATTTTACCTTCTCTCCTAAACGTAAATCCCATATGAAAACATGTTCACATGCTCCGACTGCTACAAATCTACCTTCTTGTCCTTCTAGTGTTACAAAAACAACATTACAAGCAGGGCTGACAATTATATTTAAATTTCCGGCTGGTACATATCTTAAATATTGCTTCGTTAAACTCATATTTTACTCAATTGATATAATCTTATAATCTCAGGAAAGAATTTTACTTCTGCACATCAAATTATATGAATTTGTAGATTTTATACTACTAGACATTCATATTAAAAGTTTATCTCATTTGTAATTCATATTTAATGCACAGAGGCTTACTTATTTACAATATAATTTGATTGTTATTTCAGGTTAGACGCACGCATGGTCTTTTGACGCTGTGGTACAACCTGGTATAGTACCATACAGTTGTGCTTCAGCATATCGAGTAGAGTTCTTAGGCGCCTGACCGTTCTTGGAATTTCCAATCATTGGTGTCTAGTGTGCAATGGTGTCAAGGATTTTGCTCCAAGTGACGGAGGGGAGACCTCATAAATGGGATTGGACGATTCCAATGGATCGCCAATGGAAATCCTCATTCTTTCCTCACAGTTTTAATCAAAGAGCTGGGCTTTACGCGTTCGTTGGCTGGTCCGCCTTGCACCAACTGAGCTCGCCTCTTATTGGTCAGTGTTTTTCGTTAATAACTCGTAAACAAAGCCGCGGATTATATTTTCACTAAGGAAAAAGTTACTTCAAATGACCTCAAAAATCCCTCATTTCCAGATTTCGAGACAATTTTGGGATACCTTGTATGGTCTAAGGGTAGGCTACTTACAGATTGTAGATACGCTCATCATGAACATAGCCCCAGAACTTTTGTATATAGTGAATATAGCTTTGGAACTACATAGCTATATAAATTTTTCGCGGCTTCCACGAGAGAACAAATTAAAAGTACAGACGTATTAGTTTTTCGTAAGTATTTGATGTATCAATAGTTATTATACGTATGAAAATTGAAAAGTACAAATAATATAACGTTTAAAGCAGAGTCTACAATGTAGCTTTACTAATGAATATGAATAGAAAACATTTCGATTGGAATACTGAATGAAATTCTTCCTTTTCCTTCGAAGCAACCAATTTCAACAAATTAGACTCGCAAGTTACATTTGTATTTTACTATTGAAACTTCTCGATATTTAATATTGATAGTATAGAATATGTTTCAAATGCGTAAAATCATTTAGAATGTTCTATCCTCATCAAGGGCCGGAAATATCAACTTAAAAGAGAAAGTGCTCTGTGAGCACACAGTGCATGTTTAAAATGGAATATCATTGTTTTGACAGAATATACATATTTAATAGATATAGTTACAAATTATTTGTGGAACATTTCTGTAACAATGTATGATCATAAAATTTATCAAGCATTTTATAACAGTTTAAGATTCAGGAAAGTAGAAATTATATATATAAATAATATATATATACAGTATTAATTTATTTTATTTCATTCATATAAAAATTATTTTTCGTTATGTAAAATTTGCTTTAAAGATGATAAAGTAGGAAACAGAAATAGGAGGGTGAATATATTTCGTAATTATATAACAATGATCGTTTTTTTTTTGTATTATTTAATACAAAA